GTAACAATGGAAGTGCTAAGTAACAATGGAAGTGTCAACAATGGAAATGCTACGTAACAATGGAATTGTTAAGAGAAAGCGACGTGCAAGACGCAGATGCAGTTTTTTTCGTATTTGCGGGAAATCGAACATATTTTTAGACCCATCTAAAAATTCTCTAATTAGTCTGGAAACAAGGGGACCCAATTCTTGCATTCTGTGAAAACGGGTAAGGTTTACTGTAACGTAATAATCTTTATCTAAGTTATCATTACTTTTGTCCGAGCAACGCCGGGCCCACCTGCTAGCTATACTATAAAATGATTTAGCTTGGTAGGAAACACAATACAACACAACATAGGCAATCTGCTAGGGGAATGCTTTTCGGAGGGGGACATTTATGAGAAACTGGCTCCTATTTAGGTGTTAGACACACGAAGAAAACAAAGAAAATACGTGGATAGACTGTCCAATTGTCAGAAGCGAACTCACGATTACTACCAATGTTCAGTGGTATTTTCCACTAGACTGTTGGTGGGGAATCAAAAATTGCGTGTACTACAGAAACTGTCTATAATTTAACATTGTGCTGAAACCCGAAAACGCATTAAACCCAGGACTCCTGTATTAAACAAATAAGGATATTAAACCGTACTCTTAATTGTTTTCCTAAATTCTAAACATACTTTATTCAAGAGTTAAATTTTAGATTAAAAATATATATATATATATACTTTTTCAGGAAGGTAATTGGAATAGAACTCACAAATTTACGGTAATTAAAAGTAAAGAAGAAGATTTAAAAGAATCCAAAGAAATTTTGTCTACATTAATTCTTAGAGTATCCGCTATTGAAGTATGGAAATTTTTAAATTTTAATTAAATTTTAATTTAATTAAAAATTTTAATTTTAATTTTAATTAAATTTTATTATATTGATAAATATCTATTATTACGGTGTAAAAGTTTAAATTTTCGTTTTTTACAAGAGTGAGCCATATTTCAAGAAAGTTGAAAATTCGTCAAATGATGAACCAATTTTCCAAGGCCATTCTATTGATTTAGTAGAAGAATTGGCAAAAATAGCAAATTTCAGCTTTAAATTTCAAGCTGTTGCTGATGGACAATATGGTACTTTTGAAAATGGTGAATGGAATGGGATGATTGGAGAATTAATTAGAAATGTAAGTAATGATATCAGAAATTTACAGCCTTTAGAGAGAATCGGAGCTTTTAATCTCTTTTTATATATAATAATTAGTAATATTAGTTATAATATAGGAGAAAGTATATTGTATTACAAATAATGATTATTAATTTTTTTTAGGAAGCTGATATGGTGGTAGCGGATTTATCAGTAACCCAAGACAGACAAAGTGCGGTAGACTTTACAGCTCCATATATGAATTTAGGCGTTGGAATTCTTTTTAAGAAACCAAGTAAAAAGGCCGATAATTTCTTTTCTTTTCTGTCGCCATTTTCTGTACAAGTTTGGTTTTATATGGCTACTGCTATTCTCGGTGTAACCATTGTAATGTATGTTATGGGCAGATTTACTCCCTATGAATGGGAGAATCCACATCCTTGCGATCAGAATCCAGAAGAATTAGATAATCAATTTACCCTACAAGAAACAGCTTGGTTAGTGGTCGGATGTGTAATGCAAGGAGGTGGGGATATTGATCCTAAGTAAGTATAATTTCTTTTACAAAAACTTTAAATTATTATAGAATTTAAACATTAATATATATTAACTGTTTATTAGTAGGATGTTAAAAGAATTGCTCATATAAAATTACAGTTTAATTTTATTCGTTATTAGATTAGATTTAGAAAATAGTAACAATTCTAATTATAAAGTACAGTATGACCAATTTTTATCATCTTTGGTTTTGAATAGACTGGCATTATAAAGATTCCATAAGATAGATTTGTGAAATTATTTTACTGAATTAACGTGCCCACTTGTGGCTGAGTGGATAAAATCAATGTTCAATGGCACCTGACCAACGGGTTGGCCCTCTGGAGTTTTCCAGATTTTCATCAAATGTATGACATTTAGATAGGTATCAATATGTCATAGGAAAGACTTTCCATGGGAAATAGAACCTATTTTAGATGCACCTTCTGGAAGACACCTCAGCAGATCATTCTCGTGTTGCGTTATTCTACAAATATGACTCGAATATTTATTAAGGTTCTGGTCAGAACTAGAATCTGTATATTTAAATAATTTTTTTTAATGTTATGTGCTTTTAAGTTTGATGAACATTTTAAATTCCATTTCGTAATTCTTTATGTCTTGGATATTTTGCCCACCAGTGGCCGAATGGATAAACCACTGAATTTTGGTAGTTTGCATAGGTTCCTACCTCGCCAACGGGCTGGCTACGTGAAGTTTTCCGGGTTTTCTTCACGTTTGTAACACCTAAATAGAAACCAGTTTCTTTTAGAAATTCCTCTCGAGAGTCATCCCCTCGGCAGATCGCCCACGTGTCACGGTGCCGTAAACAAATAGATCCAACTTGGATATCTTATTTGAATTTACCTATTTTGTTTGTTTACAATGGTTTCCTGCAATGCAAGTCATGAGTGATTATTAAGAACTAGCAGATAAATCCGGCGTTGCTCGAGCAAAAGTAACGCTAGCGAAGATTAAGATTATTACATTACAGCCAATCTTACCCGTTTTCACAGAATGGAAGAATTATATCTCCATGTTTCCAGACTAATTAGAAAATTTTAAGATGGGTCTAAAATTATGTTCGATTTCTCGCAATAACCTCTTGTTCTCCATTGTTAACACTTCTATTGTTAATACTTTCATTGTTGAAGCCTTAATCCTGTCCCTCTCCCCACGGAAAACTTCGAAAAATCCCTTCTTAGTGTACGTTCTCTTTGACGTACCCTAACTGTGTACCAAATTTCAACTTTCAACTCCTAACCGTTTGGGCTCTGCGCTGATTATTATTATCAACCCGTCTGGATTACAGTACAGTATATGTATATATAGATAAAGAAATAGTGTTCGATATTCACTGATTTACATAATTGATATATTTTTAAAGATTACAAAGTTTTTGAATTATTTTGCCTTCCTTTTTACCTTTTACTTTTGCAAAAGATATTTTAGTTTTTTTCTGTGTTATTTTTCTTCCGAATTTTATTTGAATATATAAAATTTCCATACTGTTAATTCTTCAAACCGTACAGCCTTACATTAATTAAATTTTGGTGATATTATTATGAATTTACACTGCGTAGAAATAAATAAATATATTGTGAATTAATTCCATATTCTGTATGAATTCGTAATAAAACTAAAATTAAAATCTGTATAAAATTCATCATTTCGTATTCATTTCGTATTTCGAAAAAATTCGGATTCACACATAACTCCTTTAATTCTATGTCTGAATCTGAGATTAAATTTTAATACATAACTATTATATATATATATAATTATAAATAAGATACAAAATGAATAATGAGATAACCAATGATAGTGACAAAATAGATATTTACACCGACAGGTCGATAATAAACGACGCTGTTGGATGCAGCATGGTGGTGTATGAAAACTCACTGGAAACGTCACACCAGATCTTTCACCTCGATAATAAGTGCACAGTTTTTCAGGCGGAGTTATTTGCCATCGATAAAGCCTGCTCCACTTAGCACTACAGGAGATTTCCTAATTCTTTTGTGAAGAATTAGGAAATCTCCTGATCAATGGGGCACCCTGCCCTATCTACTGGGCAGGGTGCCCCATTGATGTGTACTGCACTTAACCGTTAGCTATTGACTATCATTTCGGCGAAAGCCCGAGTTTGTCTAGCTTGTTTCTTTGGCACTTATTACTATCCAGGGGAAGCAGAGTCGTACCTCCATGTGGTCCTGTCCGCTAGTAGCCCGAAAGGGCAAAGCTAAACGACTTCTGCGATCTTTTGAAGGCTCTTACAGTCCTTTTCAGGACTATGTCGGCCAAGAGGCCGCACGTTTCGCTTACAGACGAGGGATCGTCTGAGGGAAAGACGAAGACCCAGCCAGTGGACTACAGGTTGGGATTGGTGGAGAACATAAGAGAGGAAGTCAGGAGCTATATGCTTTCTAATGGAGGTTGCAAGCTGGGTGCTGGCGACCATGTGAAATTCGTATGCTCCCAAATTGATAGGATTATTATTCTTCTGACTGAGAAAAGATCTGACCCAGTGCAAGCAGCAGTGGAAAGTCTACTTAGTAAGCTCGACCAGTTAATCGAGGCTCAGAGCCAGTCCGCTCCTTCATACGCACAAGTTGTGGCGAATAAACCATTACGGCCAAAGAAAGAAATCATCATAGTGGAACCACTAAAAGTAAATAGCGACCCAGAAGAAACAAAGGAGAGACTAAAAAACAACATTAACCCTAAACTACATGGAATAGGTATTCAGGCTGTTAGGAAGCTAAGAAGAGGTGGTGTGGCAGTGGAAGTTGGATCAGAACAAGAGAAAAGAAGACTCCGGGAAATTATAGAAGAGAAAACAGGGCTCAAGACGAAAGAGCCCCTCAAGAGACAGCCAAGGATTTTTTTATACGGTGTGGGAAAAGAGACTCAAAGGGACAAAATTCAAGAATGTATTCATAATGCAATGTCTGAAGATGAATTCAAATAGCGCACTAACATCAAGTTTGAATACGGCAATAAGAATAAACCTACGACAAACTGGGTGCTCAAGGTTAGCCCCGACGTCAGAAAATTGGTGCTTTACAACAAGAAAATCAATATTGGCTGGTCCCGCTGTGGAGTGGAAGAGTTCCTCCCGGTCACGCAGTGTTACCAGTGCTGTCCCATTGGACATTAGCACGGGACTGCAAAGAAAACCCCACATGCAGTCAGTGTGGAGGGGCACACAAGTTTAAAGAATGAAAAATAAAAACAAAATCGAATGTACTAATTGCAAAAGAGAGAAATTGAAGGATCTTGGACACAACGCTTGTTCCAAAAACTGCCCACTCATTGCAAAGATAAGAGATATGCTCATGGCCAAGATGGACTATGGCAACTAACAATAACGGAGTTAATAATGACAGACATTTGAAAATTGTGCAAGTTAACGTTCAGCGTTCAATTGGGGGCACATCAGCTCTTTGCTCTACCCTCGAGAGGGTAGACCTGGCGCTCCTACAGAAGCCTAACTGCATTAGAGGCACACCTGCGTGCTTCAGGACTGCCTACCGTGTCCTTTACAATAGGGACTACTGTCCCTCTACCTTGGCAGTGGTCCGAAACCCAAACATTACAGTGGTTTTCCACAACGAGATTAGCTATAAGTACCTCATGTGTCTTGAGATTGGAGCAGGAGAGGACTGCTTTTTGCTGGTGAGTGCATACTGTCCCATAACGGATGACTTGGAGCCGTTGCTTTCAAACTTGGATAATATCATCAAACAGTTTAAGGGTAAAAGGATTTTGATTTGTGACGACTTCAACGCACATTCCAAAATCTGGGGCGACCCAGACAATGACAACAGGGCAAATGCTGTACTGGAATTTGTAAACTCAAATGATCTACATATATTAAATAATCCTGACTCCCTGCCAACTTTCAAGGCGGGGTGGGTAAGAGCTGGATAGACTTGTCTATGTGTACAGGAAATGTTTTGCCTAAGATCAGATCGTGGGAGGTTTCCCCGCTCTGCAGTCTAAGTGATCACAGCTATATATTTATAAAACTTGGTTACCCGAGCTTAATAAGGAAGGAATGTGGAGATCAATACGCCATTGCAAAGGCAAATTGGACCCTCTTTCAATCCCTAATTGAAAAAGAAATGGACATTAAAAAACTCAAATGCTGTAGGACAAAACAAGAAGCTGAACAGTTACTCCAATAGATATTCTAGCTGCAACGGCTTGCAAATTAGTGGTGATTTGTACCGGCAAGGATGGGATGTGATTTGAAACTACAATAGCCACACCTCCACTGGCACGGTTGTGGCTATCATCATCCTTGCGGTAAAGATTGAATCCTTTTAAAGAAGTATTTTCTCCAGGTTTTAGATGAGTCTCTTGGAGTGCCACACAGAGAGATGAGGTAGATGACGCCAAGTGTTTAATGTCAGAGAAGTTGTTGCGGAAACCACGACAGTTCCATTGGATTATTTTATAATCCATTATGTGTTTGAGGCAGCATTCTTTG